ACACACACACACACACACACACACACACACACACACACACACACACACATATATACATTTATATATACATAGTTCGACCTTACGAAGCGACAGAAGCGAAACGTGACAAGTAAAACAGTTGTAACGTTCGAAATAGCAATGTCACTTTTACAAACTGCGAGATTTTATTTACACTTTTATGCGCGTAGTCTCGTAGTCTCATACGGAGATTGCATTATCAGTCACGCTGACGCGTGTAAACCGATTTCGTTGGCATGCATGTTTCGAAGATTGCATGTGCATTTACGACCGTCGCACGCGCTACAAACATTAGAGCTTGCGATATACCTACATTTCTTGGAGATATGAGCTTTGATTCGTATGGAGCAAGGCGAAGTCATATACTTTCTCAACTTGCTAATTCTAGTTGCATACGATTGGTAAATAAGTAAGACACTACTGGCATAAAATGATTAATGATAGATTATGTTAAATTGAGTCCTTTTTGCTTATAAAATTGACTCTTACGTTTTCTTAAATATTTTGAATTATAGCCGCTAAGTTTTATTATATACGTTGTCTACATCTACGTGATACAATATCTAGAAAGCTAAATTTATATGTAAGGTGAATCGCTCGTAGTTGCTTTGGGATCACTATCTAGACGATTGATCCCTTGAGAGAGATCTCGAGATGACATGTATATCTCCTACGATGCGACGTCATGCAATTAGACGTACACAGTTACACACGTGGTCATATCGGTAAACTCTCGAAACCAACATCGGATGGTTCATACGTTAGCGCGATTCAGTTTGAAGCCGTAAATTAACCGTAGCGGCAATTCGCTATGACAAAATCTCTGTGAAATATTTGCCGTCATACCAATTGGCAATTTCAGCGGAGTTTTTTTTTCGCCGAGAGATATTTTTTATGAGTCATATTTTAAATTTGTTTTCGCGCAGATCCAGTAACTATCACGAAGCGATGTTATCCTTTTCAACTCGTGTAACGTGAAGTGATTATTATATTCATGATCTAACGCAAAATTAGCATCTTGATGAAGTTACGAATGCAAATTATTTTCCTTGACGAGTTAGAGCTTTGAAGTTGTGCGATTTGCCGCTTAGAACTACCACGGAAAGGATTCGATGTACAAAATGATAAAGTTTTCTCTTTTCATTCGTGCACGAGTCTTTAATATTCTTAGTAACGCGGCGCCGAGAACTGCTGTTGATATCTTTCGCAATATTTCATCATTAGGCTTTTTCCTCGGCGAAACGGTGACATTGGAATTGCCGTAAAGGTGCGAACTCGCGATAATAAAAAATGATCTAAGACGCTTCTAAATCACACGTTAATGAATCAAGTGCGGTAAAGGAATGAAATTTAATGAGCAAAAGGAAATTAAAATCTTCTCTTTGATCAGGATCTGCCCTAATCTTTTGAGTGCAGCTTCGTTTAACAAAAGATTTCGTGATTTTCAACAGTAACTTAGACGTAATAACCTGCAGGTAACGTCCGCTCAGCGGTCATGTAGATATCAAAAGGACTATTTGTGAACTATGAAAATGAATAGTTCACGAGAGTAATTGTCGTTTATAGACGTATCTTACTGATACACCCTGAAATAGGCACGTCTACCACTCTACCATCTACCATCCGGTGCATGTAATATTTACCGCCGCGCAGTACGACGGTACTGGAATATAGCGGCAGCCAGTGTAACAGCCAAGGATCGATATCTATAAGCAGTCTTTTCTTACGGCTTAGATCTTACATTCTAAATATATACGGTATACGGACGAGGCACGCGCGTATTTGTGATGGATAGAATAAGATCGCGAAAGCAAAGTAATTGAGTAAAAGTAAAAATGAAATTAATAGTCATATAGTCATGAGTGAGTGCAAGATTTCTTTTTGATTTATATATTTTACGACGCCATTTTTTATATATGCGTTCTATATGCGCGTTCTGTGGGGGGTATATTGACGGTACGACCAACAGGCACGCACGCACCATGCGTTGTAATTTGTTATACCTACGAATTATCGTGGAAAAACGTCGAGATAAAGACTAGTGTGTTGTTTCGATTGTGCGTTCCGGCCGGAGTTTCCGCGATAAAGTTAATAAATGGTGCACGTCCGTAGTTCTTAACTCCACTTATCACATCGTTCTGGTTTAATGGGTAAGCTCATTTGTTATCCATCATTGTAGCTACTTGCACCGAACATGTTATGATTTTTAACACGATAGCAAAAGAGATCGACATCCATATTCCATATGCGTTTGAATCGCATAAAATTGATCCGCATAAAAAATTGACGAAGTCATGTCCATTTAATAATAATCTGTGATACTACGGCATTGGTTAATTGACACTGTAAATAATGATATTACATTGATATAACTATAAATAATTGGCGAAAGTAAAATGTCGTTCATATCTGATAAAATATATATTGTGATGCTCGTGTGGGATTGCATGCGCATTTTTCGAAGATGCGAAGATGAAACTAATACGTAGATAGAAAAGTGGGAGAGGTTTGACGTAACATGTGCGAATACAGAACAACAACGTGTCATTCCTGAAAAGGGATGCCTTCGATATTTTGATTCTACCAATATACTCTCCGTGGTGGATATTTTTATCCTATTTATATTTTATCTTTGATACCGTATCTATATCCTATTTTTGTGACGTATCGATGAATTCACTTCCATTAAGAATATTAAATAATAATGTTAGCGTCTTTTACAATTAATTTTTTTGTAATTAAAGAAGCGTGTGTGATATACTTTTTATTACATCTACATGTCTAGTCAAGTGCAATCTTTTTTTTATCTTTTTATTCCTGTTGTTTCATATAAATATGAATATGAAATACGAATTGACACGAAAGCGTTACATTTCATCTGGCGGGCGAAAAAGACATTCGCTGGTTATAAAGACATTAACTTCAATGAAAATCTTTCCGTCTTCAAAAGCTACAATATATCTGTCTGAATAAATCGCAGATATAATATATTCGAGCATAATATAATATATTAATTTTAAAGGTTTTTAATTACAGAATGTGGTCTTTTATGTATCATTAATATATTATTTCTATATTTGAGAATTGAAAAGTGTCA